AGCGCAGTCTGACCACTTGTAGAAGCGTGCCAGCGGCGACCAAAGATAATTTCCAACTTGGTTTAACAACACAAAAGGACAAAAGCAACTGTTTAAATTTTTTAATTAGAGGTTTAACTAAAATGCCTGGAATGTATGTGGTGGTGACTGACATTCGTAAAACATTTTGGTCTCTTCTTGCGGTTAAGCATCTTATAATAAAATTATTTCTCTTTCATACATCCTCAATTCAATATTAAGTACCCATGTGGAAAAAAATTTTCTGGGCCAGTAAAAAAATTTTCTGGCCCAGGTTCTGGGCACTTCCAAAATTGGCAAGAACTGGCCAGAACCTGGGAAGTACTGGGCCAGAACCTGGGAAGTACTGGGCCAGAACCTGGTCATTACTGGGCCAGAACCTGGGCAGTACTGGGCCAGAACCTGGGCAGTACTGGGCCAGAACCTGGGTAGTACTGGGCCAGAACCTGGGAAGGACTGGACCAGAACCTGGGCATTACTGGACCAGAACCTGGGCAGTACTGGGCCAGAACCTGGCCAATACTGGACCAGTATCTGGATCATACAGTAGTGAGAATTGAACCAATATGGAAGATGAATTAATAAGACACCTTTAGCAATAAACAATTTGTATTTGAAAATTACATATGCTAAAATACAAATTATGTTAACAAAAATCAAGGTTAGGTAATAAATTATTTTTTTGCAAAATTACAATAAAAGTTGTATGAAAAAGTAAAATCACCAAAAATAATACTATTGATAATATCCTACAATACTAAATTTAATTTTATATTGAAAATGTAAAAAATTAAACAATCAAAATATCCAATGAATCTAATTTGTCGGAGTTATAATTATTAATCAAATTAATAATGTCAGATTTATAGTATTAACACAATGGTCTTTAGAATATAAATGTAGTACAGTAGTTGTCATAAAGTTTTTTTACCTGAAACAGACAAGTTACAACTATAAAAAATGGTGAGCTGATGTAAGTATATTTGTATCTCCAGAGCTCAGCTTGGCCTTTATGTTGGGTTGTCTTTAAGTTTGGGCTAATTCGCTTTCAATGTACATGTGCAGACTTGAACAACTCCATTATTTTTAATGTATAGCCGCATAAGCTGCGCAGTTCCTAATGCGGGCTAGGCTATATTTATATTGAATAGAAATGAGATTGTACATATCTCAATAATCGAATTAAAACTTGATTTTGTAAAATAACCTGGCAATAGGCCTACACAATTTAGAATCAATATAGGACCTAATAGGTAATCTAGTTTTATCCCAATTCAGGTTAACTTAAGCGGCCATCTTAAAATTTTACTGTAATAGGCTACGTAACTTATATAAGTATAATGAAAAATCATTTCAAAGGCCATAAATAAAGTTAAATAGGTAGGCCTACTTAAATACTCAGTTATAGGGACTTAAAATAAAAAGACTAAAAAAAAAATGTTATAGCCTATCTTTCTTGTTACCGTACTTTTTTCATGTTGGCACTTCCAAGGGTGCAGTTCCGTAGAGAACCTACTATATTCTGTAGTTATATTGTATCGGATGAGTTTGCTTTCATGTAAATATCCATTGTAACAATTGTATCAATATTGTTGTTTCAAGAAGACTTTTTCCACACATTCTGCGGCGGTTAGGTTGTTTTAGTTTAGTTTATGATAGTAGCAATCAAAGTAAAATTGTTGGTAGGTATTAGAGTTGATAGTACTTTGGTTTGTTTAACAGATTACAATCACAAAGACATCAATTTGTAGGCCTATTCATATTATAGTTTTTTAATAAGTTTCATAAACTAAACTAGGTAGGTAACCTAACCTAAACGCCATAACTTACTGTAAACGAAAATCAATATTGAAATTCAATATTTATATCGATTGAAACATGTTAATCGATAGTTAGGCCTAAGTTATATCGAAGTAGACTATTTTAATATTTAATCCGTTGATGTAACCCATCATGGGTTCTCTGCCTTAGGCCTACCTTAGCACTTAAGCTAAGACCTATTTATCATATTATTTACATAATCAGGGCTAACTTAGTAGGCTTCTTATTATAAAATACAACAGCAAACATAACCAAACATCAAGTTAAGTTAAGTTAGTCCGGCCTAAGATAACTTACTTAACGAAACAATCTGTGAATAAAAATAGCCGCCCATTCAAATGAAAAACAATGTTTTTGTGTAGGCTCTAACTTATTCATTAGGTAGTTTTGCATTTTGATGTTTAAGCCTAAGTTACATTTGATCTAGGCATAAGTTAAGTAGGCGGGTACAGTTTCTTAACTGGGCTATGCTAATAAATATTGATTGAAACTATCGATTCGATTAGTAAGCCTTCATGCGATTTTTTCACCATCAGCAAGTTTGGTTGGTTAGGTTAGGTCATGATAGTTTATAAAATAGGCCTAGATATATTTCAAAATCGATTATTAATCAATATTTTCCATTTGATAGTTTAAATCGGAAACTGTACCCAAATGTAGCCCCAAACGGAACCTACGCTGAACAAAAGTTAGGCTACCGGTACTAAAAATTGACTTAATTGCAATCGAATCTCATCATTAATTTACAAATCCAATCAAGGTTTGCTTTACTTGTAGGCCTAGTCATAGGCCTAGGCTATCAAGGCCTAAACTTACCGTACCGTACACAATTTGTGAGATCAAATAATGAAGTAACATACTGACTAAATACTTCACAACTCCAAATTTAACACTTCAATGAGTAGAAAATCGTTAAAATTGGAACTAGGCCTAGGCTAGTTTATTTTGTTGCACTGAATAAGGTAGGCCTAAGTTAAAGTTTACCTAAACTTAGGCCTATACTAGGTACTGGACACATAAAAACTAAACCTAACAGCCACCTCAACATTAAGGCATATTATGAGTTTAATATGACAACTTAATAATATGACACTTATGCAAACCTGTGGTGCATTACTTACAACTTTTTGCTAAAATGAGGCCTGTGAACTCTGTTGTCTATAAACCTGATGGTTTGCCAAGTTCGACCTGATTCTTTGTCTATAATCCATTCTGATTCCACACGAATAGATATTTTTCACAGCAAATTAGGTAGAACGTTGTTCTACGATTAATATTAAGATATAACTAAGACAAGAACACCTTAGTTAGAAATTAACTGTTAATAAAGATGTCGAGACCAAAACTGAATACTGAACTGACCAACTGACAGGTTGAGATTTGGATTTGAGGTTAGTTAGTAACAACTCCGCTCCGCTCCGGCGTGCGTCACGTTGGATTGGATCGGATTTGATTTTGGAATGGAATGGAACTCGTACAAAAAAAAATAGTTATCTTCGTCTTTGCTCTTCTCACTTCTGTCTTGTCCTCGTCTTAATTATTGTCCTCTTGTGTTAGATTTTTGTTGGCGATGCGTTGAGCTTAAAAAAACGTTAAATTGTGTATTCGTATTCATTGGTCAAAGGTAAAAGCCATTGCCAAACCCAAACCTTCAATTGGACTAACTGGACTGGATCCAAATCCAGAGAGGTTTAAAACCATTGGGGGGGGGGGGGAGCGAGTTCAAGTTGAGTCGATATTATTGATGGTAACAGTTTTTACCCTTGAAAATTATCTAAACATGTAGGCCTATAAATTTTGTCTTGCTTTAAACTTAATTTTTCAATAAATATAGGTTTAACTAATTGACTAGTTTTTACTTCAAATATCTGTATTTTATTACCTTAACCTCGGTTCCTTTATTTACATACTGTACTCTGTCAAGATTGATTATTGGTCTAGAATCTACAAGTACTAGCCAGTTACTGGTAAGTTCTGGCCAGTACTGGCAAGTTCTGGCCAGTACTGGTGAGTTCTGGCCAGTACTGGCCGGTTCTGGTCCAGGTTCTAACCAGTACTGGCCAGGATCTGGACATTACAGCCAGAACCTGGACATTACTGGCCAGAACCTGGGAAGTACTGGCCAGAACCTGGGCAGTACTGGCCAGAACCTGGGAAGTACTGGGCCAGAACCTGGGCAGTACTGGCCAGAACCTGGGCAGTACTGGCCAGAACCTGGGCAGTACTGGACAGAACCTGGGTATTACTGGCCAGTACTGTAGCAGTACTGGCCAGTACTGTACCAGTACTGGCCAGAACCTGGGCCAGAATTAGATTTCTACATGGGTAGTGCTGGATGAGGACCCAAAAAAGGACGAAATGGCGACAAGAACTGAGCTTTAAACTAGGCGATTAAAGTAGTATTTCTAGCATAGAAATTACTGAGCTTAGATGGTCGGGGAAGCAGGTTATTGATTTTTTATTCCAAAACTAAACGTACAGTACTTGTGGGACGTTTCTTTAAAGAAGTAAAAACGTCAAATAAGCACTATAAGCAGCTTACAGTGATTTGTTACAAAACCTCACACATCGTTAATATCAAGATCACCAGCGGCTAACAAGCAGCCTAGTGTGACCCGTGGAAAAGCCGCTGCTTCGTGGTGCTGGTGCCAGCCGCTGATCACCAGCGGCTGCCGAGCAGCCTAGTGTGACCCGTGCTTTAGGCGGAAAAAGTATTGTAAAAAAGCATAGAATAAATTACTGAGTTTAGGTGGTCGGGGAACATCGAAGTATATAACACAAGTTGTGTTATATACTTCGATGTCGGGGAAGCAGGTTATTGATTTCTTAAATTTATTCCAAAACTATACGTGCTTGTGGGACGTTTCTAGAAGTAAGAACATCAAATAAGCAGCTTACAGTGATTTGTTACAAAACCTCACAGCTGTTCCTTCTCACACATCGTCAATATCACGATCACCAGCGGCTGACAAGCAGCCAAATGTGACCCGTGCAAAAGCCGCTGCTTGGTGGTGTTGGTGCCAGCCGCTGATCACCAGCGGCTGGCGAGTGGCGAGCAGCCTAGTGTGACCCGTGCTATAGTGTTTAGTGTTGTTGTCAGTTGTCGATGTTGTCGTTGTGTTTCCAGTTTCCATGGTAACACGACACGCTTAAAGGCTTGGGAATCGAATCTGTGACTGTGACTGCGTTGGTTGAGAGTGCGTTCTATGTTTTATATTTTTATTTTTCTAGTCTAAGGTTGTTCATTCTATTTTGGACGATGAGTTATCTTTTCTGTGCTGCAATTGTTGATAAATATGCAAAAAAATATTTATAATAATGTAAACCATAGTAAACATTTTCCTACTTATTAAGACATAATGATTTAAAGGACATTATTATTTTATAATGTTGAAGCAAACAATGACAACTGTATCAGACCGGGTCTTCCCTGTTCTTGGTTATTCCATAAACCACAGTAAAGGTTATTATCCAAACAAATCACTAGGTAAGTGTAAGCTAGAGCCTTGAAAACAATGTTGTTAAACAAATTTAAGTAAGTTTATTATTTAAATTTAACATCAGTTCACATATATAACTGACTGGCTTAGGTACGTGATGATGGGCCTTGGTTTTTTACTCAAGTTTGGTCATCCCCAATTGTCTAAGTCAACTGAAATTGATTTGAGACTAACTAAGTTAATTTCTCAAAAACCCCTGTCTTACACGTTTGTTGCTAGGGATGAGCATCATTTAACAATTTTTTTTACATCGATGGTAGGTTAATAAGTTAGGCTAACTTACTCAACTTAAGGGGATCCGCCACCTTTAAGTTAAATGGTATTTTTTTTTTTCACATTTAAAAAAAAATTTTATTTTTCTCTTCTGCATACTTTTCTGAGTATGTGGGTGAAATTTGAAGACAAATTGACAATTTTTTCTTTGAACAATATTAAAAAATAGAAGTTGTTACAAATTGCTATAGAAACGCTATAGCCTACTTTAAAGCCCGTTTTCTGCAAGTTCTGCTTTCCGTGTTTCTTATTACATATGTTTGAATAACTTTTAAAGTATTAGATAAGCCATTAAACTTTTTACCACTTGTTCCTTGTTATATTACTGAGATAATTGGTCATAAGAAATTGTATTTATAGCTAATAAAATAAAATAATTATAATTTTTTTTTTAATTTGTAAAATAAAAATTTTTATTTTAAAAAATAATTGCTTGTAACTTTTTTTTCTGAAATGGTATTTTAATTATAATGACCAAAAAGTTTCTAGGTACCTATTATAGGGATAAAAATAAATCAATAATCATTACAATTGATCTAAAAATAAAAAAGTTATTCAAAGTTTAGCAATATACCTAAAAATGCTAAAATAATTCGCTAAAAAAACCGAAAGGTTAAAATTAAATTTAAAACCTCAAAAGCTCATTAAATAAAGGTCCTAAATATAATACCTGCATAAAAAATGTCTAACTTACTAAATACAAAAATTGTCATTTAAAGGTGGTAGATCCCCTTAACTTTTAACAGCTCATCAAAATATTTATGTTTTTATTGTAACAGGATTGTAGGGTACCTAACTAGGCCTATTAGTTTTTAATGAACAATATTGTTGGTCTGAACATTAAGTCAAATGACTACTACCATAAGTAGGCATACTAACTTAAACTTAAGTTAATCGCATTGAAAGACTGATGACATATCAAATTTAAAAAATTGCGAACAGGACTAGACTTCTGACAAGAGTAGAGTGTCAGATTGAAAGTAAGCAAGCCTAGCTTAATAAATTAAAATCATTTGTGATAAATTTCAGCGGCAGCACTGCTGCTCATGACTAATCAATTGGCCTAACTTAAGAGACTGATTTCGATTCTTGCAAATTTGAAAGAGAAACTTCCCATCTATAACGTCTCTAGCTAGTAAGTAGAAAGGTTAATTAGCTGAGGCTACAACCGGACTAAATACTCAAACAAAAAACATTGATGATTGACGCTTTTGCGTTGATGTTTTCGGTACATCGATTGTTTATAAATATGGTACCGATGTAGACATCTATGGTAAAAAGTTCATCCACCCAGAACCAAGAGTCATCTAACTTATCAAAAATATGAATGAGAAACTGACTTGCAAATTAATGCATGTAATAGGCTTACACACTGATCAAAATGGGCTTTTTTATTTAATTTTGTAAGTTTAAGTTAATGTATACCGTATACCTATATTCAAAAATACTACTGTTGAAATTATACCAAGTTAGGCAGTTTTTTTGTTCTTTATGCTGTTTTTCATTTCTGGTAGGTTAGATTGTTTCTACGTTGTGCATTACTTTAAAAGTCACTAATAAAATGTATCGAGTTAGTCTACATATTACCTACAGCTTTTTCATTGTTAATACTAGATTTTTTTCTAGGGAATGAGATTACCAGTAATTTCCCCCTGCAGATCGCATTGTTTTTCAACCTCGCTTTCCTTCCTGTTTGGTTGACTACTATTGGTGTAATGTTACCTTTAAAGGTAGGCCTACAGTATGCTAGTAAATATACAGTAATCTAAAAAATAGCTGTACAATTTTTAAAAAAATCTGTTATTCCTATACAGGGTGAAAAAAAGTCTGCACTCAAGAAACTTTCCACACTTGCCTACGGCTTGTGCGTAAACATTTCACTTGTGTGCAGCAAAGTGCCTTTTCGCCCACTAGTTACACAAATAACTATTTCAAAATCTTCCTATTGTATTTATATTCATGTTAACAAAAATATACTATCCTTCCTTTAAGCCGGGTTTTCCTAGGCGCGGAAGCAGAAATGGGAGAGAGGAACGTGGAGAGTGGACTCCACTTGTCTTAGGTAATTTAATGTTACTGCTTTCCTAGAAGCGGAGCGGAACACCATGCTAATCTGTTTTCCGCTCTCCGCGTTCCCCCATCCGCTCTCCGCTTCCGCGCCTAAAAAAACCCAGCTTTAGCCTACACATTATTTCTCACTTTGGAGTCGGATCAGAATTCTTATTATTAATGATGAAGCTGCATAGAACCTAGTCTCAGATATTTTGAAATGAAAATGAAATAATAGGTATTATAATTCACTAGCTGGCCCGACAGACGTCGTCCTGTCCTATTGTGGTTTTATGTCACATGCTCGTTCATTTTCAAGATAAGCTCGTTCGCATGGCTCAATCACGTCCTGGTTGAAGTTCGTTCGCTACGCTCACTCACCTTTAAGTTGGAGCTCGTTCGCTGCGCTCACTTGCCTTCAGGTTAGCTCGTTCGCTACGCTAACATCTCCTCCAGGTTGAAATTCGTTCGCCACGCTCACTCACCTTTTGTTTGCAAATTAGCTGTTCTCATAAATTTAAAAAAATATAGTGCTGCACCCTGTTGGTAAACCTATTAACTTTTTAATGCAATTGAACATCACAGAATCAAATTGTTTAGCTGCACCAGCTGTTAAGATTCTTTAATTCCATTTAAATATGAGTACACTCATAAGCATAGATAAAACAAGGTTAACATGGGAAACTCCAGAGCCACTGGGGCGAAGCCCTATTGACGGATCTGCACCAAACTTCACACAAACCTTCCTTGAATAATGCTTAATAATGCCTAAAAGTTTCATTACAATCTGTCGAGCAGTTTTGGAGTCCATAAAGGACAAACATACAAATATACAAACATACATTGGATTTTATATATATAGATTACAGTACCGGTGGCAAACCTGCAGACTAAACGGATTTCAATTTGCTGATTAGATTTTTACCAAAATAAGTATTTCCATAAACAAAAATATTTCCCATTTACTCCCCATTTAAATATCGTTAGCCTAGATTTAACGAGTACGGTACTTAGGTTAGGCAACGGGCAAGGTAAAGAGTGTCTTTACTAAATGTTAATAGTATTTAAGATGAAATAAATAAATTTGCCAAATTTGACCAACATTATATGTATCCAAAACAAGAAAACCACACAGCACAGTTTTCTTTTTCTCCATTAGAAAAACATAAAAAATTAAAATGTAATGTTTTTTTGGAATTTGCTCTGTAACCTTTGATTGTACAACTTCAATATACAAAATTTGGAATATCAACGTGTTAGGGTTAAAATATGAAAAACCAACTTTTGACAAATCCTTTTACCTTATATTCCCATCCCACATAGCACAGAATATCCTCAGGATATCCCACAGAGTTCCCAAAACGTCCCAATATCCCATTAGATATATGAATATCCTTGGGACATTCCTGGGATATTCCAATATCCCATGGGATATAGGAATATCCCTGGGACATTCCTGGCATATTCCCGTTACAATCATTAATTTAATTTTTTTGGGTTGTTGATCAAGGGACAGGAATATCTTTGGCATATCCCTAGAATATCCACGATATCCTTTTTTCATCATTTATTTGTAAAATCAAATCAAATCAAATCAAATCAAAATAGCATTTATTCCGCCAAAATATTTACAAATTACAAATCATGTTAGTACCATACAGAAATGTTTACAATATTGTTTGGTATTTTAATAATATAAAATTTAATATAAACATAAACATATAACTCAAGTACTTCTCGAAATATGCTACCGAATACAGCTTTCCCACACAGCACAGGACCCTGACCAGTTCCCACATATCCCACATAATCCCAGGATTTGAGAATGTCCCTAGGATCACTCTAAGATATTGCACATATCCAACACAAACGAATGCCTTTTGAGGGGACTTCCTATGGATATTCTCGGTAGGCTACCTATATTATAACATATTTTATAATATTGGATGTTTCTTTTTTCAATTGACAAGTAGTTGAGAAACGTTATTAAAAAGGATTTCAATACTATTTCAAATTAAAATAACTAATAACGTTACTAATGATTTATAAAAATTAATCATGTTTTCCGATCATATCCATAGGACATCCTTTGGAGATCCGTAGGATATCCCCGTGGTCCATAATAACTATCAAACTCTAAATTTTTACCATTGTATAATAATAATAATAATAATAATACACTTGCTTACAATGATGCAAAATATTTTCTTTTTAATTTAAATTCTAACTTATTTGAGAAAATTTATTGGTTGAAAATTTAAGGGAAAATATTAATTAATCAACAATTATAATCTATATTCTTATTACAATATCCTCTACAACTCCCAGAAAAAACAATTTAACAACTTGATGCCTAAACAGCATCATAGTATCAAAAAATATTTAAGTATTGCGACAATTTCAGATGTCGGCTCCTCTTAAACCGCTTGAAAACTAGTAATATCAACAATCACAAATAGCTCAGGAGGTAAGGTAAGAGATTCAAAAGTCAAAGGTCCCCGGTTCAAATCTCGTCTGGGCCAAAATATTTTTGTTTCTATTTTTTTTCAAAATTTGTTTTTATAAGCTATTTAATTAAAATACTTAACTGGTAAAAGTGTTTTTCAGACTAAATATTTATTATTTTGTGTTTTTATGTATAATATCCTGGTGGGATATCCCAGGAATATCCTTTTGGGATATCCCATAGGGATCAGGATTTGGGCGAACATAGGGAGTTCCCCAGGATATCCTGAGGACATTGCGGGATATACAGAGGATATCCCCCAGGGATATCCCCAGGACATTCCAATCACATCTGGAATTTATGCAATTTATAGAATGTCTAAATTTTGTTCAGCAGATATTTTGAAAAAGCTTTATTTTGCTTTCATTGAATCCGCAATATCATTTGGCATAAGTGTTTATGGTGGAACATCAAAGAAAAATTTGGACAGAATTTTAATTTTGCAGAAAAGAGCAATAAGACTAATGTTAAATTTAAACTGGGATGTTTCCGTACGTGATCATTTCTTAGCCATGGGTATAATGACTGTGTACGGCATTTATGTTTTCCATACCGTTCTTTTAACTAAAAATCTTTTGTCTGAAAGTATGTTACCTAAACTAGGGGATAATCACGAATATGGCACCCGGCATAGAAACAAAATTGCTGTTGGTGCCCATAGATTGGAATTTTATAACAAAAAACCGTCATGTGCTGGAAGAAAATTTTTGGAAGGGCTTCCAGAGGGGTTGAAGAAAATTGATGATTGTAAAAAATTTAAATCCCAGCTTAAAATATACTTAACACAAAAAGTACTGTATAATTTTGACGAACTGTACAGCTGATATTATGTTGTAAGTTTAAGTAGTTTAAGAATTTTGACGCCATTCAATGTACATACTTGTATGATTTATGAATAAAGTTATTTTCAATTCAATTCAATTCAATTCAATTAATGGCAGTTTGAAGAAATCACCTTTATCCAAACAAAGGTTTCTTAAGATTACCTACGTAATCTCTAAACGATAATCGGTACATATATCTAGCAAACATTCAGAGGAAATGTGACAAAAAACGCACAAATCTGGAGTTTTGTACGTTTGTAGTTTTATTTCCTAAGTAGGAAAAGTACCGATATCGTTGTCAAAATGTAAGTAGGCCTAAGTAGAAACCAAAAGTGACACATTGGAAAAGCGAGTTTAGCTACATCTGTTAAGTTAAACCTCTGTTACGCTACGATCACAGCGAAATCAGAAAGATCTTCCAAGATCGCAGCAACATCCACGATCACCCACTGCAGTCGTGATTTTTTACTTTGCACTTTACACAACTGTCCTTGAAGCGCCGTCAATGAGTGGAAACTTTTGTAAGCTACGGTATTGGTGACGACGATTATAAAAATGTAAGTTTCCTTGCACTAATACAACACTGATTCACGGTATTTTCCCCGGTTATCAAAACTCAAGAACAATCGTTGCACTTGCGATTAATTTTAACCGGTTTAGTAAGGCACAACGTTTTTAATCTCACTTGGTTTGGATGTGCTTACAAAACTTGATCGGAAATGGTTGCGGTATTTGTAAACAGTATTTAATGTAAACATATCTGTGACAGCTAGAAGTGAGAACTAATCCAAACAGCTGATCGTTATTTTATAAAATGTAATAGTAAACATTGGGAGAAAATTTGACAAAAATCGAACAAAATTGGGTGTTTGATGGTTCGTTATTTTGTTTTCAAAGCAGCGAGGCCATGTTTTTATAGCCAAAGACACTCTCACCAAGCCCTTAAATACAGAAAAAATATTAGAACCTTGATTGATACTCTAGTTTTCTAGGAGTAGGCCACGTTAAATGAGACTGTTTATACACGAAAAGCGGGAGCGGTAGCGGTTGTCCTCCCGCTGCAGTTTCTAATTTGACCGCTGTGTAGTTAGAAATCACAGCAGCTGTTTGAGAGTAAGCGGTTTTCAACTACATTGAGTCAAATGAGACTGTTTATGCACGGCGGGAGCGACTGCATCCAGGGTTGCCAACTTAGCCAACCTACCTACGCGAACATGCATTCGGTCTGGATCTGGATTCGGTCAGAGGTTATTCGTTTACTGTGAACTCTTGTTTGACAGAGTGATGGAGTTTGCGGAAGAAGAGTAACACTTTCCGACTGAACAGTTCATTGATGAAATGCGACAAAGGCCGTGGATTTGGGACAATCGTAGTGACGATTTTAAAAACATAGATTTAAAGAAGCCGTAATGGCTAAAATTTTTTGAATTGTTTTGCCCCTAACTTTTAAGACTCCATGGAAGAAAAAAGGAGAATTGTCTAAGTAACGTTTAACTATTGTACTTTTGTTCAGTGGAACCTCAATGAAATCGAATCTCAATAATTACAAATTCTTGATAAATCGATATTTTTACTCACTTTGAAAATTCCTTAATTAACTTGAACTTTCCTAAGTTAGAGTTGGCAAGACTGTGTCCCCCACTATGTTCGCCGTTGACCGACCGCTATCGCCTCGCTCCCGCTCCTCGTGCATAAACGCAGCATACCCTCCACTACTTTTTATCAGTGCACTTCACCCTTGTTCTGCTCTGGCTCACCCATTGCTTCACTAACTAACAGGTCCATAGTCTACATGGACAGGCAAAAATACAATGGTTGCTGAGGCTGTCAATCTCTTTCTCTAAAAAAAAGCTATTGGTTGGTGAGTTGGTGGCTCAGTTGGTAGCTTTACAGAGACTGAACCATGGCAGCCATGTCCAGATGAATTCAGATCCTGGTCCAGTTCAACTCTTACTGTACTGTACCGGCTGGATAGGTTCCACATGTAACGGTAGGTAACTCCTACTACTAGAGGTTTACCCACTGTTACTTTGGGTGACGTAGCTAACGAATCAAACTCAGCACTCCCTCACAAAACCCAACTTTATTATTACTCAAAACAATACAAATAACATAAAGATAAGTAACAATCATAAAGGTAGAGTATACTGGGACACTGTATAAATAATTTAATTTGAAACTGAAACCCCAATTAGGAAAAGACTCAAAACCCCAATTTTAAAAATCCCCTAAGATTGTTTATCTGGACCCAAGGTCCAGGACCCTGTCCTCCAGTACACCACACTCCACACAAAACTGACCAAGTGCAATGGCCTACTTAAAGCAACAGCCTTCTGTATGTCAGCACAACAAGTTATTGTTTAACAACACTACCAGCCTACTCACACAACATTGCCAAACACTTCCTCCTTCCATTACACACGCATAGGTCCGTAATCTATGTAGTCGGGCAAATGCAAGGTTAAATGAGGCCGCCACCCTCTTTAAAAAACTGAGCCAAACACAATGTTTCTAAGATAATTTTTGTTTTACCATTTCAGTACTGCAGACTACCGGACTTGTACAAGATTATTTTAGTTATTACTCTAGTTGCAGCAATTACCATTGAGATTACTAGATTATACATGGGCTACCTGGGAAACCTAACTGAGAATGTAAGTATTAAAGCAAAGGTAAGAAATACATGTTAGGGCATTTTGAAGATACAGATTTATATCAATTACTCCAATTCAGCCGAATTTAAATATAAATAAACGGTAGGAGCAATCTGAAACACTCTTCCATTAGCTTGTCAACAACCTTTATCATGGGTAAGCTGTGAGAGTAACTATGATATTTTATGGGGAAAATCACAAAAGATGCATAAACTTTAGAACTGTAATTTTTACAGCAAAGGGGGTTGTACACTTTTGTTAAGAGTTGAAACATACTAGATCCAATCAGGCAAATGGAAATTCGCTTAGTCTGCAGGTTTGCTGCGGCGGGGGTATATTAGTTCTTCGTTGTGTGAGCCAGTCACAGATTGCAATAGTGTCTAAAACTCTATTATGTTCCTTATTTTTCGTTACTAACATAGTTGCTGGGTCACAACAGTTGCTATAGCTCATAAGTCATTCCATCATTTTGACTTGGAAAAACCATCATGTAATCGGCATAAATCAGTAATTTAGATCAGCGCAATCTGTAGGTGGCTCACATCAACTAAGACAAATTTTATTAAAAACCTGGCTACAACTTTAACATGGGGATGGAATGTCTAGTTGTTGTATAAATCATGATGGCCTTCAGAACTATGTTCCTTGTTCAGCGAAGCAACTTAACCGAACTGGCATATAAGAAAAGCAAGCAAGTTTACAAGGAGGCGGTTAATAAAGCTAAACTTAATTACAATGTTGAATACATAGAATCGTCTGACAACAAGTCAAAGGCTGCTTGGACACTTGTAAATAATCTACGGAGCAAGAGCGTCAAGTCACCAGAGATCCAGATTCCCCCAGAGGAGTTTAACTCGTACTACCTTTCAGCTGTTCAGGAGGCCAGAGACAGCATCATTCAACCCCAGACTACTGCGCTTGACTTCATGGAAAATTCACCTTTGCCTGAAGAAAACTTCAAATGGGAGGAAGTGTCATGTGCAAATGTGCTCAGTGTCGTGAAAAAAATGAAAAAATCTAAAAGTAAAGATATCTTTGATCTTTCTAATCATCTAGTCAAATGTGTAATCGAGTCCATTTTGTTTCCTCTAACCTTTTGTATTAATTTGTGTCTTAAACAGGGTATTTTTCCCTCTAAGCTTAAAATATCAAGAGTGGTCCCCCTGTATAAAAAAAGTGGTGAAAAATCTGTGCCAAAGAGTTACCGACCGATTTCTATAGTACCAGTTTTAGGCAAGGTTGTTGAACAAGTTGTAAAACTCCAGGTATGTACCTACTTTAATCAGCTGAGCCTAATTAGTGCTTCACAATTTGGCTATCAGATGGGTAAGAGCACTACGAGTGCAGTTCTATCAATTGTTGATGATTTAATCAGTTGTTTTGAGGATCGAAGCCTTGCTCAGATCACTGCCTGCGACCTGAGCAAGGCATTTGATTGTGTCGACCATTTAATTCTTTGTCAAAAGCTACAGTGTCTGGGTTTTCATGGCGTTCAGCTTGATTTCTTTAAGTCGTACCTGGAAGGGAGATTCCAAATTATAGATGTTGCTGGTAAAAAGTCATCTGCTTCTCATGTCAAATTTGGTGTACCACAAGGTTCTGTGTTAGGGCCTATTTTATTCCTTGTCATGGTAAATGATCTGCCATCTACTATTAAGTCATCGAAAACCATCATGTTTGCTGACGACACATCTTTCCTTACAGTAAGTAAAGATTTGCCAACTGTGAATGGTATTGCTGATGAAACTCTTAATCAGGCTGTTACATGGTTCAGAGCTAATGGTTTTAAACTTAATGAATCAAAAACACAAAAGGCAATATACTCCTTAAATAGTAGACTTGCTTATTCAGATGAATTTGTTAAGTGCATTAAGTTACTAGGGGTGCAAATGGATTGTAACTTAACTTGGAATAGCCAAATAGATCTAGTTTGCAGTAAATTGTCAAAAGTTGTATATTTGTTAAAAACTTTAAAATTTTACGTTCCTGTTACTTATTTATTGTCTGTTTATTATGCTTTGTTTCATTATTTGTTAGACTATGGTATTATTTTATGGGGAAACTCTGGCAGGATAACTGATGTTTTGTTGTTGCAAAAGAAAGCTATTAGGATAGTAACAAACTCAAAGAAAAAAGCTCACTGTAAACCTCTTTTTACTAAAACTGGTGTTATGACTGTTATCTGTTTGTACATTTTTAGGTTATTGTTATTTATAAAATCAAATGAATCAAGTCTTGTTTTTAATAATGACATCCATTCCTATAACACTAGAAGTAGTAGAAATGTTCATATTGATCAAGCTAGGTTAGCTAAAACTTTAAGAAGCCATTCATGTGTAGGTGTTAGACTTTTTAACCATTTGCCTTTAGATATAAGATGTTTGCCTTTTCCTAGTTTTAAAAAAGCCATTCACCTTTTGCTAGTCAACAATCCTTCCTACTGTATTAAGGAGTATTATGAAAGATGTTTGAATCTGTGATACTGTTAATTGTTTTTGTAGGTAGCTGTGTTATTGTTATTCATATAGGCTAAATCTGTGATATTTAATTTTATTATTTTAATAATTGTACTTGACAAGGTCGTATGCACTGTAATATTTTGTGTTCTTAGACCAATAAATCTCTTGACTCTTGACTCTTGTATTAATAGTCAAAGCTATTACGGTAGGTCTCATGGTAAGACTTGGACTCGGGACCGATTTACTTATTTGTTTTGATGTCCCCAGAGGAAAAAAAACTCCATCTGTTCAAATTAATTTATATATGTGTCCGTTAGCATGATAATTAAAGAAAAAATCATCCGATATTGATGAAATTTGATACATGTAATTTTGACATGTAATTGATTTATGAACCTACGTTTATTTAAACGAGTTCGAAAACCAGAGTGATCGGACCATGGGAACGGGATTTTATGGGGGAATTTACAGTAGACTCCCTCTTATCCGGACTCCTCGGGACCGAGGTGAGTCTGGATAACGGTTTGTCCGGTTAAATCAAATCAAAATATTCTTGATTTGTTATTTCATTAAGAATATTTCATGGTGTCATACAATAATGTAACTTAAAACTAGTACATTGATTTGTATGGCTTAGTTCATGGATGGACTGTGAAATTGTAAGAAACAGTGTCTAAGAGGAGACTATGAAAAATTGTTAAATTAATGCAAGTGTTAAACAATATGCTGTGATACTCAGTGCAGGTTATTGATGTAGATCAGATTCCAGGAATTCCTTCAAGGAGTAAGCAGGTCTGTCTATAAGCACCTTGTGAAGCTGTGTTTTCAGCGGTTTACCCTTCAGTGATGGAGGTAGGCTATTGTGGACTTTGCGGCCGGTGTAGGATGGTTTTCTGGCGCACTGGAGGGTGTGATGACTGGCAGAATGAAGTAATTTCCTCGCCTTGCGTTGTAAGTGTGAATATTTGTACTCTTTGGCAGATCAGACTCACTCACCAGAAGGATTACTGCTTTGATGTAGAGATTTACAACAGTCAGAATACCAAGCGATCTGAAAGCTTCCCTGCAGCTGCCTAAGGGTTGGAGAGTGGTGAGTATACCTATGTCTTTTTTCTGCAGCTTCAATATTCTGTTAAGGTTGCTTTCAGTAGTCCCGCCCCAGACAACAAGACCATATTGTATATGCAACTCCATTAAAGCATGGTACGCTGTTTTTGCTGATAATAAATAACTAATAAATAACATCATTGCTGAAGTTATGTTTTGCTTCTCACTCTCAGAGTATTCCAAAGACATCTAATGTTTCAATCCATGTTCAAATGTGATATGAGGTAAACATATAACCAAATCAATAAAATTACTTAAATTTTTTTTTTAAGAGGTTGGCGGCCTCTTTTAACCTTGCATTTGCCCGTCCACATAGACTAAGCGCCCGTGCGTGGATCGTTTACAGCAAAGCAAGGAGTGAGCCGGTACAGTACAAAGGTGAACTGTACTGATAAATTTTAGTGGCAGTGACCAGGATCCGAACCCACGACATCGCTGCCTTGGGCCCAAAGTCCGCGACGCTACCGACTGAGCCACCGACTCACTAAAGACATTAAAATACAAATAAAATACAAAAATTAAAATACATATTTATTATCAACATGCACAAACTAGTTCAGATAAATATTGTTTTTTGAATTGTGGGATATCATCTTACAATCAGATTGGCAAAACCTACTGTGGTGTTTTAACCAGTCCCCACTAACAAAAGCATAAAATGAAATGTCCTAAAGAGGTTACCTTTGAGTCATAACAAGAGTAGTTTAAAAGTTGTAACCGTGATACTGTAAATAGTTTTATATCGTTTGATATTATTGAGCGGAGCGAGCGAAGCTCTTATCCATCGACTCTTGTGCATTTCGTAATACGCAAACTCCTCCTAGACGGATGAATCAATCGTTTTCAAATTTTACATGGAGATAAAGACCATATCGGTGAGTGCCAACATCTATATGGCGTTAAAAAAAATCTCTCAGGAATCCGCCCCACTGGGTCTCAAAGTTTCGATGTAATCCTTATGGAAGCAGTATTTGACACATAAACAAAGACATATGATCAGCTGATGACTTTTGAATGCAGTAGATAAAGAAATAGCTGATAGCATTATTCCACAGATATTAGAACAGAAACGGTATGGATCATAAATATAATCAAATAACGACACTAGCTTGAGGTCCGTGACGTATAAAAGTGATGAAGGAAGTAGTAAAGGTGAGCAGTCTGGAGTGTGGAAACTGTTTATGACGATTAGATTAAGGTACCTGCATTCCTAAAATTCTATGGGAAGGGAGGAAAACAAGGTCTGCAACGTAGAAAGTGGTGAAGGAAGTAGCCAAGGCGAGCTGTCCGGAGTGTGGGAACTGTTTATGACGATTAGATTAAGGTATCTACAATCCTAAAATGCTATTGGAAGGGAAGGAAACAGGTCCGCGACGTAGAAAGAGGTGAAGGTAGTAGTAAAGGCGAGCTGTTCGGGGTGTGGGAACTGTTTGT